ACCAAAGTCGAGGAAATGCACCCAAAGCCCATCTTTGCAATGCATTCGGAAATTACCACAAGTTCGCGTTGGGTTTTTGGAAGTGTACCGAAACTAGCACTATCTTTTGGAGGATGCGTGAACTTTTTGCGGAGAAACGGCAATACACCTTGACGATAACCGAAGCGCGGATACTCATCCTAAGTTACCTTTATGCCATTCTCAGAGTACGGGACGAAAGGTCCCCCCTTAAGTGATTTCCCCTCGGTCCCTGAACAAAGTTAATTTTAGAATCGTGTAAAAATGACGTCATTTTTGTACGGCCGAGGTAGACGTTCTACTGGGTGTAGAGAAGCGTTCTCTATAAGTGGTGTGATTTGTTGTTGCAGGGTGACTCCCCGTTCGGCAAGTCTGACGCGTACGTCAAGCTGGAGCAGCTCGGCGAGGGGTCATACGCCACCGTCTTCAAAGGCTTCAGCAAGTGAGTGTGTTTGCGCTACAAAGGGATAATGAGGTTGTTTCGTTGCCATTGGCTTGTCGTCTGACCCGGATGGGTGTTGCAGCCTGACGAACCAAGTGGTGGCGCTCAAGGAGATCCGGCTGCAGGAGGAGGAGGGCGCCCCCTTCACCGCCATCCGAGAGGCGTCGCTGCTCAAGGACCTCAAGCACTCCAACATCGTGACCCTCCACGATATCGTGCACACCAGGCACACGCTCACCTTCGTGTTCGAGTATGTGGTGAGTGTCTTGCTGTTGTTATTCACAACGACACACCTAGGGGTCCTACAAGTGTGCAGTAGTTTTTTACTACATTTATTTCGATTTCTTCTGATGTTTTTGATTTTTTTTCCTGATTTTTTAAAATTGAAGTACCCCTCGCGACACACTTCCTGTTTGTTTGACCGTGCTGTCCTGTTCCAGCACACCGACCTGTCGCAGTACATGGAGAGGCACCCGGGTGGCCTGGAGCTGCACAACGTCCGCCTGTTCCTCTTCCAGCTCCTGCGAGGGCTGTCCTATTGCCACAAGCGGCGCGTGCTGCACCGAGATGTCAAACCCCAGAACCTGCTCATCAGTGAAGCAGGGGAGCTCAAATTGGCAGACTTCGGTTAGTTTCCACCCGGCGCCTCATTTTTTTTTTAAGTTTGTCTTGTTGGCAAAGTCTGTAATCGTCTTGTGTCTTCCCAGGTCTTGCTCGTGCCAAATCGGTGCCGTCCCATACCTACTCACACGAGGTCGTGACCCTATGGTATAGGCCACCGGACGTGTTATTAGGAAGTACTGAATATTCCACATCTCTAGATATGTGGGGAGTAGGTTGTATATATGTCGAGATGATTACGGGCATTCCCTTGTTTCCTGGGGTTCGTGATACGTATGATCAACTTGACAAGATTTTCAGGGTACGTCAACCTTAAAAATGTGACAGACTCTCTTGTTTGTGCTACTCCTAGCATTTTATTTTAATTCCAATTGATGTTTCCGTTCTAGATATTAGGGACACCAACTGAAGAAACATGGCAAGGCTCAACTCATCTACCAGGTTTTAATCTTAACAAATTGTGTTTGTACCGCCCTCAAAGACTTGGGCTTGCAATACCACGCCTATATGATATTAAAGATGGAGAAAATATGGCTTCATCCTTGCTTCAGGTAATACTGAAAGTAAAAGGAAAATAATTCATTCCTAAAAACAAAAATATATTTCCAATAATTTGTTAATTAATTTGTTAATTGTGATTAAAATTCTCAGCTGAACCCTGACAAGCGCCTTGGAGCAGAGGAAGCGTTAAGACATCGTTATTTTCAATCATTGCCAAAGAAGTTATATGAACTGCCAGACGGTGAGTGACAGAAATATGTTTCTTCCTATTTTTTCTTTTCCTCTTTTTTACCACAATTTTAAAACAATAAATTCAACATTTATCATTACAGAAGCATCTGTTCTTGATGTAGAAGGTGTCCACTTGTACCCCGAACTACGAATTTCTGGGAAAACCTGAGGGTTGGAGGCGCGACGGTCGCCTGGGTACCCCAACTATCGAGCGTACCTCACATGAAGTGCTGCCTGATCATTGTCATGTGGTGGACTCGCCGTCCCGTCCTAAGTGGTGCTCGTTCGTCCTCGTCGTCTACCTTCTGTGCCACATTTAGTCTATTTCATACATGGTGCATAGAGGATTGTCAACAGAGTCCATTCTTTTTTTAAGGATGAAAAGTGTTGGTTGTGATGTCACAAAAAATCAATCTGTACGTCAGTCTACCTTATCTGGCATTGGCGTAAACACAAACCGTTCTCCATCCTCTGGGAGAAACTTGTTTTCTCTGTTTGTTGATCGTTGTTGAAATGTTGATTTAGGTATGTTGTTATTATCTTATTGATGAAGTGACTATGATGGCTGGATAATGTGATTCATTACACACCAACACATGGAAGTTTTCATCTTTCTGTTTTTATGTTTAGTCTATGCATTCTATTGTTTTTGTTGTTGAAGTAGTGTTTGGAATGATGTGCAAACCATTTCTCCTCCCTATTCATTATTCTGAAAACGTGTTTAGTCATTGAGGAAATCTACCATTTCATATGAGGATAAATTTAAATCAAGCCAGTAAACCATAGGATCACATTTCCTCGTACTTTGAATACTTTCATTAAGATGGTAGTGGGTTGTTGTTTTTCTTATCGGTCTCGTGCTCAGTGCAAGTTCTAATTTTTGAGATGTAATTTTGTGATTTTACAGTTTATACTATACTTCACAATAACTAATTTTCTCTTTTAATTCATGTTTTACATATTTCTGTTTCATGGCATTAACTTTACAGTTCATAGTAATTATTTTCTGAAGATTGTAAACACAATCTTATGACTCCCATTCTTGGGTTCAACGTAAAACAAATTAGTCCATAGAATATCTCTTTTCTTTGGAAGCCACCAGTTGACTTGAATTGAGGACTTCAGAATGGATAATATCTAATTGTTCTTCTACTATAATTTGTCATCTTGGTAAATTTTAGAACTTCATTACTATTCTTGTTTTATGAGTGGTATCGCATCTCATTAATGAAAAGGAAGAACATTTTTAGTATGACAAAACTAGCAGAAATTTAAGCATGTGATGATATGTGGAGAAGTGCTGGAGAGATGACGATTATCTTGCCACTTAAAACATAAAAGGCCTGACCTATATAAATTCATACCCACCTTCATCATCTCTTGCAATGAGCTCTTATCATTCCCAACCCACCTGTCGAAATTGTCAATGCCTCTAGCAAGGCTGCTCATGATTCTTATGTATTTCTTACATACTATTGTTGCCAATTAATAACAAAGAGCAAATCCTTTTTTTCATTTCAGATACTGAAATGAATTTTTAGTATGACACTCAGCCAATGGGTAACACATCCTTACAAATTCTATGTACTCTAGTCCCATTCTTCTTGTGTTGGTAAGATCATTCCAGAGTCCTTCCTTTAGGCTAGGGCGCTCAGCAGAAATTTATATCAAATAAACATGTTTTACTAATTAATGTTGTGAAATAATATTTGTCATTTACCAATAATGTAACTGTGATACAATTGTCTCTCTCAATTCTTCATTTTTTTTGTTTGTATAGTATAAATTAATGCTCAGACTCCTTGCATTTTCTACATGTGTATTTTTTTAATTGCTTTGATTAATCGGATGTAATGTCTAGTTCTAGATGTAAAGTACAAGTTTGTTGCAGATGAAAGTCATGTAACAAGAGAGATGTACTGTGTACTGTGATACACCATCAGCCATACTCTCTTGGAAAGTTTCAATTAACATGAGGGGAGGAAAGATCTTTGGTTATGCAATACTTTACTTTGTCTTTAAGCACATTATTTTGAAAATAGCAACAAATACTGTACTCTCCTGTATGCTTCAAAAATTTACTGTAGCCAATATGTGCCATTAGCTAAAGTAAGTGCTGGATTCTATGGATCGAATACATTTTTACATGGCTCAACTTGTACCATTCAGGAAGTTATAGAAACTGTAATTTAATTATTAGTTGCAAAATACAGTATAAACACCATAGTTTGAAGATGGGAGGTAAAATTTGTAAGCCACAGTAAATTTTAGTAGCAAATCTATGTCAAAATGATTCTTGAAAAAAAGACAAATATTTCTGGTCTCATCTTCTTTTTTTTAGTTCGAATCAGACAACGGTGTAAACGGTTTTGTATGTTTGTATGGAGAAGTATAGAGTAGAGAAGAAAAGCGTGAACTTCATCCAGAAATATGCAGTTATAGAAACTCATTTTGCTTTTCTTCTTTAGTCCAGACTTTTTTGTATACTTTCAAGAAAATTTCAAATAAGCTGAGTTATGTTATTTATTCTGCAACAAAGTTAAAGAACTGATTGTGTCCAAGATCCACATATTATTACCTAGAAGGTAGAAAGTCTGATCAGAAGAAAGTCTGTTTGGGTGAGATTGATCTTCCCTCCTGTATCTTCATATCACCAAAAGAAATTTCTGTTACTTGCGTCTTGCCAGTATTTTCTATGCACACAAATCTTTAGTGATAATTTTCTTTTAAAGATTTCCTATCAATGAGTTCCATAGTACATATATGCTCAGTCTAAATTTCATGGCACTCGTGTTCTGAATTAGTTTTTTAAACAGTTGCGTGCACCGTCCTTGTTAATTCTATTACTGTCCAACAATAGAACTGAGAGTATTGAAGCCATATTCTCTCAGCTCATTCTCGGGCACAGAGGTGATATTTAGATTAATTCACACATGTTAATTATGCCATAAACTCCCATAGATTTTAAAGCTTTAAATTACTTTTTAAATATATGCTTAGTTTGTGGTTCAAGCCTCTTGCTAACTACAGAAAGCATTTTGTAACAATATACATTCATTATATTTATTGTGTTATTGAACAAGAATGTATATAGAGAGGAAAGCGGAGTATTTCTTCTTTTTTTCATGTACATTAGTGAATTTACATCATGTATGTATAGAAGTTCTTAAAATTAAAAAAAAAAGTGTAAATGTATTTGTCCATAAACATGTGTCATTCGGTTGTTAATATTTCATACAAAAAACTGTCAAACCAGACGAAAATAAAGCATCCTCAAGTACAGCTGGATTTTCACACATGCTCATTGTATTCAGTACTGCCTCTCCTGCAGAAACAGCTCTACAACACTGGTGCCATGAAGTGATAATCACGAGAGCGTCTGTTCAATGTAAAGTCAAAACCTTGACAAAGTAGATAAACTTTGTCACACTCCTGTTCTACTAGGGATAGGAGTTAACTCACATCAACATATTTCTATGTCACCCAAAGACTGAACTCTGACGAAGTTGGACTAGAATTGATAAAGCAGAGCAACAGAGGATCATTGGTTTCATCATAAATAACCCTAGGAAACTAGGAATAATTGAATATCTAGGCACACGAGAAAGTTAGGCCTGAGTGTTCCTCATAACTCTTCAGTAGTTGTTCACCTGTTTGTAAGAACTGAAACTGGTTTATCAAAGGGGCTCAACTTAACTGGAGTAGTATGGAGATCTTGTGGTCTTGAAATGGGACACAATGGAGAGTGAGTGATAAAGTTGTGAGGAGATGGACTGATAAGCACAATACCATCAAAATGAGAGACCTCATAGCCATCGAAACACTCATCCATGCTGCAGAATAAGCTTGGGACTGCAGATGACTTCAGACGTTTTGCACGACTAGTCTTATCAAGCCAGTCACAATCTTTGAAGTGAAGCTGCAGTAATAGAGGAAATATTAATTGTTTTGGTTAACCATTATTGTAATTGTTTTGGTTAACCATTATTGTAATTGTTTTGGTTAACCATTATTGGACAAGACTCAGCAGTAGTATAATATTTACCTGACAAATTCTATGGTGAGGCTTTGGAATCCACGACTCACGGCCTATTGCTTGGAGCCACTTTTCTCTCACATCAGGCTTTGTTGGGAAACCCACAAAACACATGTCTGGTTGTCTGTAGGAACTTGATGAACAATTTGGTACATTACATTTTCGTGGCATTTTGTAGTTCCGAGCAGTTCCGAGAGAAACCTGAAACAACGTTGACGCATCAGGGTAAGTGATATACGAAATATGTCATAATTCGCAGACTCTGCACCAATAATCTTCAAAAACTAAGTAAACCAATTAAAAGTAAGTAAACTCACATAACGCGCATGGTAGGGTTAGAACATTGTAAACACCAACATAACATCCGTCGCTGGTGCCTAAAATTCAAATAACAAGTCACGCCTGTCGCCATCTATGGGTGCCGGAAGGAAGCTCGCTGGGTCTCTATGAACAGGGAGTAGTCCCGTGTGACGCACCCGTTGCCTCGGTTGCAAACAAACAAAACATTAGCAGACGAGCAACAGTGGCAACAGACGAGTTTGTACGCTTCTCTTTAGAGATCTGTCAGTTGTCGCAACTCATCGGGAAAGCGGATTGCCTCTCGGGTTTTCTCGCTACAGTCCTTGTGCACCTTCATTCGAACATTTAAGCGAATCCACCGGTTGGACCTTTGAGGTTAAGAGTCCCCTGGGTACTTTTCTCGTGAAATGTCGTCGGTTTGTAGTTCTTCATGTACTGTGTCCTCTCATCTCGATGAAGATAGTAAGTAACGCTGCAATAATAAGTGGTTGTCTTTATAGGTTTGTCGTCTGCAACTACTTATCGGAGCTGCTTCTTACTTTATTTGTTAAGGCTCGTCGTGGTGGGAAGAGGTGTATGAGGCAGCAGACTTACACCCGGATGCACAGGCGAAGAAAAGTCGAATGACACAACAGGACATTTCATGTGAGTAATCAGTTGTGTGAAAACTTTTCCCTGTCTTTGTGTCAATGAGTATATTTAGTGTTGTCATTAACCTTATTGACAGTGCGCTACTCTGGAACCAAAGAATCTACTCGCCTAGGCTATGCAGCACTCGCAAAGTCAGATAAAAAAATTATAAGATTATCACCATCAGATGTGAAAATAGCTGCTGCAAAGTTGAATCTTAACTCAGGAAAAGAACATGTCAGCTTCTCTGGTAAACAACGCAGAGCTCGGCAAATTAAAACTGCGTGTCACATTAAATGCAACAGATGTGAAGCTCCCAGATTAAAATTGTCAGAGAGGCAGGAGATTTTTGACACCTTTTGGAACTTGTCTGATCACGAAAGGCAGTGGCTTTTCATTTTTGGGCTGGTGAAGACTACAATTCCAAGGAAAAAATCTTCAGTAGGATGTGGCAAGAAATTTTCTCGGCACTATTCCTTCAGCATTGCAGGATCACAAAAACAAGTGTGCAAGACCATGTTCAAGAATACTCTTTGCATTTGTGACTCTTGGATAGACAGTGCTCTGTCACATTTCTCGGAAGATGGGTACAAACCAGACATGAGAGGAAAGGTTAGATATGTGAGGCGGAAACGGGGGGACAATGCAGATCTTGAGGCAAGCTGAAAAAATTTGAGTAATTGCGTGAATCATATCAACTGGTATGAGCGTGTAATTTCTTGACATGATCGTGTTTCCCCTGTGGAGTAGAAGGCATTGTTTTCAGATGTTTCCTCTATAATTGTACAGAACTACCTTAGGGGAGATATCAATAACTTAAGATTCAAGGGAATCGAGCCTGTATCTAACTGTTTGAGGATTAAATGTGTTGATTAAGCTCTTTCAAAGTGCAATGCAGGTCATTTTGTGCTATGCAATAAAGATGTTGAGATACTCTTCTCTAGCCAATTTTTCATTCGGCCATAGACATGACTTTATTACTTATCCACTGTCATTTCGAATTACGCCAGAAATGTGTCGCTACGGCTTGTTGTGGTGTTTACACGAGGTTCGGACCGGCGATACCCCCTCACAAAAGACCGCGTGTGCAAGGGGTAACGCCGCAGCGCTGCAGCGGGTCCTCCCTCAGCGCCTGCGAGCTGACAGAGGCAACTCCACCATGCACAGACGTTCGGCGGGACGGCCTACCCACAGGCGCCCGTAAGAAACGGGTGCTTACAACTACGTCTCTGTTTGTAGCTATACCACTGGCACGGCCACAGGAAGCTTTTATCAAAAAAAACCCGCTCGGCATCGTAAATGCTCACGTCCCTCTACCCCAACCCGGATAAAAAATAAAAATTAAATGGGGTAGTACTTTCCTTATTCCAACACAGGACGACTTCGGCGGAGTTCTTCCGAACCACACTTGGTCAGAACATACTCCCGGGGTTTGTAAGACGGTTGACACGTGCGTTGGTTAATCTGTACTGACCCACCACACGACATGGAGTGGAGCCAGATTCTAGCTCTTATTAGTGCACCCGCTACCACAGCAAAGTGCCAGGCACCAGGGAACTCCCACGGCCCGCTTTCGCCGTGAGTCGAACCCCGGCCCTGACCCGAGTCATGTGCCACCTTCGACGCAGTGCCATAAGGACGGTAACCATAACCACTACGCCGTCGGAACTCCACGAGGGGAGGGGGACGTGGTGAAATGACGGGTTTGAAGTCAATTTGAAATTTGGTGGCCTGACAACAATTTCAGGTCGACGGAGATTCGAAACGTCGTCCTCCCACCCTCTGGGCGGGCATTAGAGTCCGGGGAACCCACCTTGGGGCTAACCTCTTTATTCCTGTAACACCTACGGGCAACACAAGTGGTTGGTCGCCCCACTCCCACTTCCTGTTTAAACAATAATGCACCTTTCCCTGCTCCCCCCTTCAAATTGTATAACATTTATATCAAGCCTCGAGGCATTAGAAACCCCCTGTTAAAGTATAAAAATGTAAAGTAAGAAGAACAATAAACCATTGAACACCCCCCCCCCAAAAAAAAAACAAACAAAAAAAACTGCCGACTGAGCTAGAGGCGAGATGCGTGTTGACGCTCCTGGGGACGAGCCATTCTACGCTGACGCTGACTGCTAAAAAAAGTTCTGTGTGAAAATTTTTTTTTGTTTCACACAACATATACCTATTGGTTAATTTTGAAGTGCTGGGAAAAACATGTCATAATGTGGCGATAACCTTTTCTTGGATTCCTTTTGTGAGAGGTGAGCCGGGACTTGGGCGCCGTGGGCCCCGCGGGAGGGCCTTCCCTCGTGTAAATGGCGGGAAGAAGTCTTGGAATAAGGTCCGTAACGCCAAAAGCTGGGCTGCACCGCTCTAAGAGAGCTCTCACCGCCGCGCATTACTTTGGAAAGAAAGTGATTCACGGACTTCCTTTTATTTGCATTCCTCTCTGCCGGTGGCACCTCCTCCTCCTCCCTGCCGCCTCTCGCCTCGGACTGCTTAATGAACGTATATCAGCTTAAAGCGGGCGGGCGAGGCGGCCAAAAGAAAAAGAAAAGAGAGAAAATGCAGTCCGAGACCAGACCGGAGATGTGAAGTGGGTGTCTTGAGGTCTGGAGCCGCCTAAAGACTCTCGCGGCGCACCAGCGGGAGTAGAAAAATAGAAATGCGACGTTAAAAGTACACATTTGAGTTTACAGAGTATTTGTTTTGCGATAGAGAATAAGCTTCCCCTCCGCCGGGCCGCAACTTATTGGCACCCGCGTCGCTCTCGCCTCGCTTTGAGGCGGCGGGCCACTGCGCCGCGGCCTTGGTCCTTGAGCCGCGCCAGGCCGGGCACGTCCGTCCGTGTCGATTTCTGCGGGATGGAAGACGTAATTTAAACGGAAATGAGTCAATCTGACGCCTTCTCCCTCCCACCCCCCTCCTCCTCCCCCGGCGAGTATCTCTCTCACTCCACCGCACTTTCTTCATTTACTTTTTTGCCGCCTGTGACGTCTCTCTCCCCCTTCGGACGTCCCTCTCTTTCTCCCCGTTTCTCTCGTATATCGTGGCGGATCGAGGCGACCTGCTCGGGGATGCCTGTCGGGTTTCGCGGGGATCATACGACGCGATGCGAGTGTTGGCTTGGCGTGGCGTGGCGTGGCGTGGTGCGGCGTGACACGGGGAGGAGCAGGACCAAAAGAGGCCAAATAATAAAGAAACCTTTCCCAGCAGGTCCTGAGAGGCCTCCACCTCCAGTCGCATCGCTGAGGCTGCGGCCACGGGCCGTGGCCCACGGCGGTATTAGGTTCTCGACGACGACATCCCCCTCGGCATTGACTCCTCGCCGCTCCGTGCAGAGCCGCCCACCCCTTTTCTCTTTGCTTTTCTTAAAACCAGCGCAGCAAACTCCTCCCCATCCCCCCAACAAGGACCGCACCGCCGCTCTGCTGCGCCCCTTTGCTCCGGAGAGGCCAGGGCCTTGTTTGCTTCCCTTCGCCGCTACTTTATTTTTATTTACTTTAATGCTCCGTCCTTGTCTTACCACTCGCGCGGCCCGTTTTAGACTTTTCTTTTCAGCCCGCCGCACCACCCCGCCCACTTCCTCCTCCTCCTCTCGCTCTGTGTGTTTGCCATCGGTCCAGGAGCCGCGGCTATTGGTATTCCCCCTTATACATATTAATTCGGAGCAATTCCCGTTAAAAGCACAAGCTGAATCCGGCGGCGGCAGCGGCGGAGACGGAGCGCGGGGCGTGGCGGGGCGGG